GACAGAAGATACCATAATGTTTACCACAACACTATTAGTGGAGTGACAGGGACAGGTAGCACCTTCCAATAACCCTAAATATTCCTGTTGTCTACTCACCTAAGGCTTAAACTGGAGCACTTCCCAATAAAACAGCCAAAGTGTCTTCTTTCTCATTTGAGATAATTAAACTGGAAGCCACTGAATATTCATTAAAGTTAGAGTGACAACCTGAACACCAGTATGCAGCGTCTGGGATTCTAGAACACCTTTAGTTCTTCAAATCACTTCTTGAATAAAGCTATGGATTCAGTGTCTGGAGACTAGACCATGTAGTGGTCGCTGGTAATCATTACTGATATTCACTAGTGTGAATAAGAATTCAGTTTTCCACTAACAGCAATAAGAAATTCAAATCAGTTATAATCAAGAAGTTTTAAAAAAGTAATCCCCCAAAATGCTTGTACTTAAATGGGATTGAAAAGAGAATGCAAGGCCAAAAAAAGGTGTTAACTGAGTTTTCAAGATGTTACTTGATGAAAAATAAAACACTTCACATTTAACTTGGTAGAACATGTAGAACAAATTCAAGCACTGCTATACGCAACATTTACATAAAAATGTGCAGAAGCATTTCACAAAGTGAACACGTTGAGATTGCATAAGAGAAGTGACACTCATCGCCCCTGCACTATCCAGACTTGCTGTTGTTTTGACTGTGTAATTGAGTTCTCTGTGTCAGTACGGCAATTATGGATACAGTGGCTGCTGAGTGCCGCAGATCCCTGTGTGCTGCTGCTGCCACGTCCCCACAGTGAAGGGTGCCACCGCATTCGGAACGATTCACATTAGTAAAGGGAATAAGGTGTTTTAGAGGACTTGCAAAGGCACATAATCAATGACATCTGTGAAGAAGAAAAATCTGTAACAGAGGAGTGGGACAAGAGAAACCCGCAAAGGGTTTGTGATTGATAACAATCACAAAAGGGGATGTATCAGAAAATACATCATCTCCTCCATAAAGAACGTTCCTTGGGCGGTAGCTCAGCAGCATAAGTACAAGGTCCTGAGTTCAATCCCCAGTACCAAAAAAATAAAAAGAGATGTAAAGAAAGAAAGAAGGTACCTCAATGTTTTCTACCAAAAGGAGGGATTCACATTAGTTGAGGTTTATTTTTTGTTTTTGGAGTAGAGGGCCAAACCCAAGACTTCCAACTTACTAGGCAAGTGTGCTAACACTGAGCTAAATTCTCACCTCCAAGGGCTTCACTACAAATGACTGTAGCAAAGTAAGAGGAGAGAAGTGGGGAGAGGAAGGGAGAGTAGAAGGGAAGGAGAGAGAGAGGGGCAGAGAAAGAGAGAGAGACAGAGAGACACAGAGACAGAAAGATGGAGAAAGGAGAGCGCATTAGATTTTAAATCCAAGAACTGCATTTTCTTTGTTATATTTACATACATTCTAGTACAAAATATGTATTTTATGTGTATATGTGAAAATAAAATCCCTAGTCATTTTAAGCTAGCTTACTCAGTTCAAGGAACTCAGCTGAAGAGAAACAAAATGCTTATTTTCTGGATCAGATCCAATCTCTCAAACTGGGTAAAGAATTTGAGATAAGACTGTAACTTGCCAAAGAAAACAGAATAAAAGATGTCTTGTGTTCTGCTAAAAGAGAATAAGGCAGAAAGCACTTGCTACAAGTTTTGAAACAAATGCAGCCAGTACTTCTTGATTTCATGATTAATGTGAATAAAAAGCATCCTTTATGTATGATGAGGAAGAAACCCCAAATACTGCTTATTCACATGCTCAAATGAGTAAGGAAGTAATATTTCCAGTGAAATATTAACATTCACAGTTTAAGAATATTAAGGAGTTGGAAAAAGTCCAGAGAATAGCAAATAGGGTGGAAAATAACATAACTTGCAGTTTTGTAGGGAAGGTACTTTATGTAGAAAAGAAAATTAGTTTGAGCTTGGCCATCTATGATGGTCATAATTTTCAATCTTCATCTAAAGAAAACAAAATAAAGGTAAATAAAAAATTGAATTTGGGTAAAACTGAAAATTTCTTAGAAGAAAAAAAGTAACTGATACAATGGTCTAAGCTAATAAAAGATTGTTAAATGACTGGAATACAAAACTTTCAGCATGGAGTATTATTCATTGCATAACTACTGTCCTTTCATCTATCATCCTATAAGCCCTCTTCCAAATATCTCTAGTCATTAAAGTTTTGTGGTCTAAAGTTCTAAGAATACTCTGGCATTTTTCTAGTCAAAACCCAACCCAAAACAACCCAAAAGTAACCAAAACCAGCTTTTTTTGAAGTAGGTTTTTTTTTTTTTTTTTTTTTTTTTTTTTTTTTTTTTTAACTGGGGACTAAATCTAAACCCTTCCTTATGCTAAGCATGTACTCTACCAATGAGTTTCTACCACTCATGTCTTCACTCCCTCAGCGTTTATTAAGTACAAATTAACAGAATTCCATCTATAGATTTATAGTCTAAAAGTTTTATTATTTTGTTATGTTTAATCAGAAATTCTAACAAAGAGATTATGCCCCAAATTCACCAATATGAATTTTGAGATTTGCGTAATTAAAAATTTTGAAGGTCAGTTTTTAAAGAATCTAGCTTAGCTAAAACACACACACACACAGACACACACACACACACACACACACCTACCTTCTTCTTTTCTAATTAAAATTTTGATTCTGCAGCTAAGAGAAAGTAGAAGAGGCCAAATGCAAAGATGGTAAAAGACAAGTCAATCTTCAGTAGCCAATATGCAACAGGTGCTTCACATGGCCATCTTCTTTTACAACCTTTAAGTAGGTAGAATTATCTGGATTTATATTACACCTTTACTAAATAGATTTTCATTTTACAGGTCAGGAAACTGATGTAGTGATGTAGTTTGTCCAAAGTCCATTAAACTTAAGGGGCATAAGAAACTTCAACTTAACTTCTATCAGAGGCCTAGGCTTGATTTAAGGGTTCTAATTACTATCACTACATAAGAAATTGTAATGTTTTCTAACGTAACTGTGCTTCTAATTTTTAAAAGATGCATTTCCAATAAAAGACAAATTCATTTATCAGCTAAGTTTAACTCTGTGATATAGAGCTATACATTTTCATTACTACCTTAAAAATCCTAATTACTTTATAATCAGTTATTTTTTTAATTCACTTTTCCAACATAACAAGCTTAATTTTGACATGTCCATATTATGAGAACTCTCAAAGTTATGCACTCTCATTTTCCTTTGTAGATTTATTTTAGCTCAGCCAATCTCATTAAGTGCAATTTTAAGTTTTCAAAATATCTCCAAAGTGTACTGAGAATGGCTTATCGATCTGTCCAGTACATCAGAAGATTCTATTGGGTATCATCAGAGATGTTGACATCAAATCCTTCAGGAAAGTTTGTCTTAGATGCCTTAAATTTAACATGTAAGCTTTTGTTTACTGAAACAATTATTAGTAAACATGATGGTAATGTCATGTTATAGGCAGCTAACGTAGATAAAAATATCATAGGCAGCCATACAGGGCAAGGCCCTCAAAGGAGACAGCGTGGAAGACAAGATACCTTACAACTGTGCGAAAGACATGGACGCACTTGCTGTGGGCTAAAACTAAGGACCAAAGATCGAACAAATGCTGACCTCCCTAAAGATTAGCATCTGGGCTTGATCCTCACCTTGAGGATGCCAGGAAGAGTCACTAATCCAACAGTTTACCAGGTACTGGGTAAAACTTCTGTTCTATATTCGTGTCCGCTTGCTATCTGACTCGCTTCCTCATTTGGTTCTGGATTTAATCAATTTTACCTGAGCAATGGTGCTTATAACCTTATTGGTTGACCATAAATTTTGTCCCACCTCCTGCCCACCTAAGCCAGTTCCCACCCTAGACACGCCTCTTTACATGGTTTTACTCTATAAAAATCCCTGGGAACAGTGGCTTCCTGGGGCAACCCATTCAGGTCCCCCTTCCGTTTCTCTTTCCGACAGAAGCTTTCATTCTCTCTATATTCTGCTCTTAACATCCGTTTGCTCCTAAAACCCACTCTTCAGTTTTAGAGAATACGAACCCTTCCTAGGTACCCTTCAGGTTGGGAGTTTCATTCCCCTGTATCACTCACATGCCTAATGAGGGCAACAGTCACACATACTTCATAAATCACTGCAGTCTGTATCATTATTTCCATATTCCGAAATTGCCTCTTACAGCAGTTCAGCATTTCACATACTCAACAAAGGGGGTTATTTTGGTTAACTTTTTAAAATTCTAAACCATGTAAACTAGAAAACTATTATTGAAATTTACCTATAGGCTTTAAAGTAGGTAAGGTTTTTCTGTGTCACTTCCCTAAATTAGCACATTAAATAAAACAAGGCCTGGGGCTTGAGACAAAGAAAAGGTCGGGAAAGGAGATACTCTACGTTTCACCAGATGGTCAAAGAAAGTTCTTTTTTAATAATGGGATTAAACGTTGCAAATGCAGGTAACCCGCATGGCACGCGGGGCAGGCGTGCAGGCTCCGCGTCTGTTTCCTGACAGTGGCCGAGCTGTCTTCCTAACCCGGGGACAGGCCAGTGGTTCTCACTCCCACGGCCGGCCGAGCGAGGACAAGCCTGAGAAAGCCCGGGCACCTGCGGCTTCCGCCTTCCGACTAGGGATCTCGTCCACAGGCGGGGGAGTCCTCACTCCTCCTCCAGCAAGGGGGCGCGGAGCGGACGAGTCACCGCAAAGGGCGGACAGGCGGAC